TAATAGGTGGCTAGATTGGACCTTAATTCAGCATTCAAATATACTTAGTTTGTGATCATTCCGATTTTATACCTATGCTTGTTTGAATGAAGCTTAAACCTACCCATCTCCTTAGCATTTTAGCTTCTGGCTTAGTCTAGTCTTGTAGAGTTAGTTGTCATTTCTTACCCCTTGTCGGCCTAGCTTAGTTGTTGGTAATGATTGTGGTGATTAGCCGTTCTCCGTGGATCGACCCTTGACTTACCACTAAACTCTTGTTTAGTGTTTGGTTTAGGTATTATAAATCTTTGTTTAGTTGAAGGTGTTCTAGAATCCAACGACCTAAAATAATCCTTCATCACCTAGCAAATAGCATATGTGGTAATATGGTGGTAGTATAATCTTTACTTCACGGCTAGATAACCCTTCGTAGCACTCCATAGAAAATGTAGGAGTTTTGGGGGAGCGTCCATACTCTAGATAATTCGCCAAATTTCCTCATCTTCCAAGGCTTCACTCACCTCCTACGAGCTTGCATTACTCATCTTAGCCAACCAATAGCCGGACCTTACTATGTATACTTCTTCATTCATTGTTCTCCAAAAGAGATATCGAGTCACACGGCCATCTGTTTAACAGTGGCATTGCAAGAATCAAGCGGCTAACCTCTTAATCGAAGGCATTTAAAAAAAATCCCCATCCCACTCATCGCTTTTAAAATCTATAATGGATGACACTCTTAGCATTGTATTGCTATCTTGCAGATACTCCGTCCTTACCACATTTCCATCTCTTAAAAGCCAATTATCCTCATAGACTCGAACATTAACTCTATTGCATATACGCCAAAGCAGGCCGTCTCTAAGCAAAGATTTTACACCCTACCCCACCCAAACTCCTCCATGCATAGCTTGGGTGTTGGGCTATGGGTTCCTTCCAATGTGGAGAAGTCCGCCGATATGTTTTGGTGATTAATTTTGGGGGTAACTTGGCCCAAGAGTTGTTAATGCTTCTTTGAGAAGCTTCTTATCTTTGACTTCAGAGTGCCTTTGCCGAGAAAGTGTGTGGTCAACAAAAGTCTTCGGGGATTAATCACTTGTGGATAGTAGATAGTGAAAAAGAGGAAGCAAATTTAGTGAGAGAAAGAGTGAAACACAAAGGGTTTTGATTAAAAGAGCAGCCACCTCGCGTTTTTTAGTGTACAGTCCCAGAATCACCTCTAATCGAAGCTCATCCGTGCAGTGGTCTGATTTAGCTCAAATTTTGCTAGCTTGTCCGGGACTTCCAGGGCTTCATCATCAACGGTGTTATTCTCATTTGCTGCCATGGTTTGTGAGATATCGTTGTTGGACAAAGCTCTGTTTTTCTAGTGATATTTTCTCAATTTCATCTTTCGTAGTTTAGCTCTTATGATTATTTTTGTTGGGTAAATTGAGTACTCACTTTTGAGATTTGAAATTGTGTTTGTGTAACATTTCTTTATCAGAATAAGAGCAATTGGGTGGACTCCCTAATCGTTGTCTTGTGGTTTTTACTTTTCTCGTTGAATGGGTTTTCCACATAAACATATGGTGTTCATTGGTGTATGTTGCTATGTTTTTTGTGTTGATATTGCTGGCATATTGTTGACCTCAGAGAATGTATCATAATATTTTGTGTTGGTGTGACATTTGACAAATTAGTAGCGGGAACATGCTTGTAGTTTATTTTGTCACTAGATTATTCCTCAAGAGGTGTGTTTACCTCAACATATTACTATACCATCTCTCCGAAAAGTTATATTCCAACAATACATGCGAAATGTATTTTACAGTACAAGATCTTCCCAATAATTAAGGAATATTTTTATTTGATCCAATTTATTTGAAATATGTATTGAATTTGTTAAATTCTACTAGTATACAGGGGCGGTGCCCTACTAGAAAAGAAGAAGAAGAAGAAGAAAAAAAGAGAGAGAGAGAGAAAGAAAGAAGCTCTAATCAGTTTTTAACTTAGATAGAACATACAGAGAATAAAAAGACTTTCTCTATCTAGAAAACCATCCTTATCCTCCCACCGCTTCCACCATTTTCAACCTTTCAACCACAGCTCGCCGGCGATGGCAAGGAGCGTCGATCACCGGCGAGTCGTTTAATTTAGGCTTTAGTTTGTTTTATTTTTTAGGCTGCTTAGGGTTCAGACCATTGAATCAGGGGAAGAGCAGAGCGATTGCTGCCTTCAAGTCCACCGGTGGTTATCAAGGTTGGTGTGTCGTTAAGGGTTTCAAATTTAAATTGTTCAACGAATTAAGGAGCCAAGGCTATTCTTAACGCCGTCGTCTAAAGGAATTTCTTTAATTGTTTTCCCGACGGTAAAGATGAAGTTAAGTCTAGGGTTTCTTCCCTTAATCCAAGGTTTGGTTCAGGTGAGGCGATCTTCTTACGTTGGCCTTAACGATTATTTAAGGTGTTCGTTTCTGCCGGTGCGGTAGGTTGAGTACTCTTTGCTTCTTATGGTACTCACAGGTTACTTAGTATTTTCTGCTAGTTTCTTTGATCTGGTTTATTGGTTAAGTTGTTGTTTATGTTTTGTCCTAGTTTAAGTATGTTTTATTGCTTTATTTTGCTTGTATTGTTGTTCATGTTTTTAGTTTTCAATAATACCCTTGCCCTGTTCGATTTTGAGTTGGAGTTTCTTAGGGTAGTTCTAAGTTTGGAGGCTAATGAAGAATGGTGGTTGTTTTTGGAGTCTGGTTGGTCGGTAGTACCCTTGGTTTTAAGGGTAGTTCAGTTGAGCAGTTCCTGGGTTGTTGGCTTGGTGGTCCTTTTAGTTGCTTTTTCGGGGTGGGATTGTGTTATAGGGGGTTGTCACGTTGAATGTGTAGCTTCCCTCATTGGTAGTTTGGGCGGTGTCCTCTGTGTTTGTGCTGTTTTCCAGAGGCTAGAGTTATTTGTACAAGAAAAAAGTATTCCCTGCATTTGGAGTTTGCAGGGAACAGGTAATTTTGAGGGGAAAGGTTTGTTTGCTTGTCCTGTTGCTTCTTGGTTGTGGGATGATTTGGGTCTTCATTCAGTTACTATCATCTTGGTGTTGGTGTTGGTGTTAGTGATAACAAAGACAGTCATCATTAAAAAATTCAATCTTGAAGGAGGCTCCTCATTTTTAATGTTTGGGCTAAGCAAAGTTCTCCATTTCCTGGCATTCTATATAGATAGAATTGCAAGAAAGGAACCTGCATTTTGGTGTAAGGTTTCTCTTGGCAGGGTCGTGAAAAAATACGACTCTCGTGGTTTGGCTCCCGGACTCTTAGGAGGTGGTTATGTTTTTCGATCCCTAGGAGTGGAGTCGTGTTATGGGTCCTTTTTTCGGCAACAGGGTGCTTTCGGCTTTCGGGTGTATTGTCTCTACACTACTTCCACCGTGATTCAGCTTAGCTGTCATTGCAAGTTTCAGTTCTCTTCTTTAGTGTTAGCTTGTGTTCTCTGTCCATCTCCATGGTTTTGGTTCATTTGGCAACTATTGGTCCAAGGAAAGGTTTTTGGCCTAGTAAGAACCTTTTGGTTATCCAGGCTCCAAGGTAATTGGTATGATGCACAAGGGTCTAATCATTCACTTCATTTTCCCTCTACTGGTAAGTGGCAAACCCTACTTATGGGTTTGTTTGGGCATGTGGGTTCTACTACGATATACAAGGTTTTTCTTTTTGTATTTGCGTGTTTAGCTAGGTGGGTTGGGTTGTTTTTAGTTACTTGTTTTAGATCTCTTAGGTTGTAATTTGCCCTTTATTTCTGAAGTTCTTTTGGTAAAAAAAGGAAAAAAAAAATAAATAAATAAAAAATAAAAAACTTAGAATATAAAGTGCAAAACTATATCTTAGCTTACCAAGCCGGGACACCCTTCTTGAGGCACAAGCTGATATCCTAGTGGTTAGAACACAATTTTTTCTATCAAAGGTCATGGGTTCAATTCTCTTGGCCAACATCCTGTATTTATTTTTATTTTTTTTATTTTTGTGCTTAATGTTCTATTTACCTAGTACAAAAAAAAATAAAAAAAAATAAAAAAAAAAAATTGAGCTAAGATTACTTTTCCAATTAAGATAATGAAATTGTAATTTTTTTTTTAATATTTCTTTTAACATATGCACACTCAAATCATTAGTTTTAGTTAGTACGGAGTTTTTTTTTTATCACGCTAAGCTATTTGATACGAACAGTGTGTTTAGTGATTTTGAACTTGTCGAAAGAATAATTACTTTGGGTCATTTCTTATAACCTTGAATAGGCCGGGGTAATATTTGATGGATTTTGGAATACTCTATAATTGAGGTTTGAAAAATACGATTGTTAAATAAATTTTAATCTCGATATTAAGAACATCCTTTCACGATTATTGCTATGCAGTACGTAATTGTATCTAGATTTTTTTTAATTGAATATTTTAAGAAGACGGGTTTAAGGAGCTTGATAAGAGGATTTCCCTATAGACGGTTCCCTACCATTATTAGAATCCTGGCTCTACCACTACTAGTATATGTTTGTAGATGCAGTATGACCTTTTATGAATAAATTGATTTTACTACATAAAAACATAATTTATGAAAAACTAAGGCCTCAATCGGTTGTATATTGGTATTTGAATTTTGAAGTTTCAATTCATGAAAAGTTATAATTCATAAGATATACTAGTTTTCCGTTTTAAGTTTGGTTGATACTAAAGAAAATTACATTTCTCACAAATTAAATTCCTAAGTTTTGTTTGGTTAACTTAATATACCTTCCATGTTATACAACTTTAAATACTTTTCCAATTTTTTGAGGCAGTAATATAATTTCATCCCATAGAAGTTTGAGTGAAGGGGTATGTAAATGAATTCTTATGTGTTTTTAGAAATTCTAATTTTCTAAGGAATTTCAACTTCCCACTTTTTTTTATGTTAATCAAACAGCTACTCATTATTGAATTTTCTATAGATATGTATTTCCTCCATTATTTAAGTACAACCAAAAATGCCTAGCTTAATTTCCTTTAAATATATCAAATGTAAAGCGACATAGGCCATTGGTGAAAATTAAAATATACTAAAATTATACAAAGTATATAAGATAAAAATTAAAAAAGAAATAGTTACAAGATAAGGGGAACCAGAACTATTCAGAATACAAAAGTTAAAATGAGTAGTCCTTGTGTTGGAAGTACCCTCTAAGATGTGCCAGAAGGGTGTTAATTCAACTGTAATCATTAAGGAATAGATTAAAGTTTGCAACACTGCCCACGCACTAAACTTAATCTTAAACACGACAACTAATTGCTCATACATTTTCAAACCTGCCAAAGAGAAACGGGGAAGTTCACATTGAAGCTGGAAGGTAACAAGCTAGGGCGTGATCACGTTTGAAGCGAGATGGAACTGGTAACAAGCTAGCGCATGATTCACGCTTTAGCAGAAACTGATAATAAGCCATTGTGACGAAGAAGTGGTTCTGGAGATGGCTCCCGTCCACGAAATTCTACAAACACCTGATAGGAAGATGACCAAAAGAATTGTAGTAGGAACAATTTTGCACAATGAATTAATAAAGGAATTGAAACAAAGGACAAAAGAAGTCTGAGATCCTCGTAATAAATGCAGCTTTACCTCTAGAGGTGCTTTGCCACCACCAAGAGCAAGAATTGTCTCTCGGAATCTGCGCCCAGTTTCTACGACGGCCTGATAATTCAAAGATTCATGAAATGATGGTAACACATTTTTGTCATAAGACTCAACACTTAGGACAGCAATAACTCAGCTTTCAAATAATCAAACATCGCATTTAACAAAAAACCAGACAACATTGATCCATACAAAAATAGCAAACCCATAACACAAGTAGACACAAGAGCAATTTAGCTTAATGAATATCATCAGACAGTAAAAAAAAAAAAATTTAAGAGAAAAAGAGGGCAATTAATCTAGCAATTACTTGTCGTTTCAATATTTCATACCTTATCATCGTCCAATCCAGCATCCTCAAATGCAGAGAAAGCATCAGCAGATAATACTTCAGCCCACTGAAATACATGCACAATTAACTCAAGTTTAGTTTAGTTAAAATATCAATAGCAAAGTAAAGCAAGTATCAACATATACTGGCATGAAGACGAAGACAGTATGAGCTATAGCAACTGAACAATGTATGTAAGCTTGTGCAATACAAAGTACTTCCCAATCAATACTAACAAGAATTGCGTGATTTAAATCTGCGTGGAATAATAAGGAATTTGAATTAGATAGTTTAGGATAAAATTGGAAACCCCACTCCCTCAAATTTACCATTGCAAACTCTCACATGTAAAGTCAGTTTATCAACTTTGATCAATAATAATCTAAAAAGTAAATACAGAAGAGGATTTAATGTATCTAAACTACATTCATTGGATTCGTCTTTAAAGGAAATTTCTTGACAAGTCATTTCTATAATTGTCAAATGGTCAAAGATCGACCTCAAAGATTATAATTGTTAACCTCTAATGCTTCACAAATCAAGGACATGATTCTACGACACAATTAGTTGAATGAATCATGGTTCCTTGGTCAGCAAGCACAACTAAGGCTCAACTAATTTTTTTCAAAATAGCTAATAAAACAAAATACCAAAAAACAAAAAAGAAATACTTAAAGAAAAAGATATGCTATTGTAAAATAGTATCCTTATTTTCCAAAATCAATATGCAATCTTTTTTTAATTTATTTATTTTAAAAGCATTTTCTTCAAAACAATTTTAAATAGGAACCTAAAGTTTTTCTGAACGAATACATAGAAATAAGTCAAAACACATATTTTTCCCTATGACGAAGGTCGTTTCTTTGAGTTTCTTACCCTAAACACTTACATATATCCTAAAATAGACTTTAGTTTTCATAGCACCATTGTACTCCCTCCGTTCTTTTATTATTTTCCTACTTTCCGATTTAATATGTTTTTTTATCTTCCTACTTTTGCTTTATTCCTTTAATCAATCCTTACCCCACCACATGGTCTATACATAAAACTATAAAATGATATCAATGTTTCTAAACAATTTCGATCTCCTACCTAAAGTACAAAAATGGGACACAACTTTCCACTTACAACTTCATTTAATATTAACAGTAAATGGGAAGGTAAAAGAACAACAAAGGGAGTACAAAGCAACAACTTAGTAGCTTGGTTGAGCTAATGATGTGATATAATTAGAGAACATCATCATTACGCAAAACCATCATACTTAACAAGTGTTGACCCCTGAGTTTTGATGAAGACTTAAGCAAACTCATGTGTTAATCTAACTACTTAGGTTGTGTGGATTGGATGGTAGGTCTCATGAGGGAATCCATAATATGTGATGACGGTCCAGAGTAAGAGGGAGCATATTACAAAGTCAGAAACAACTTATGAAGAATGAAAAGTTCACTTGAGGAAATCAGAGTCAAAGTTCCTTTGAAGGAATTGAAGTAATATGAAGCTTTAGAGTCGAAGTTTCATTGGAGGAACTCAATAAATTTGAGATAATTAGGTTTTATTTTTTAAGCTTTTTGTGTACGTATTTAGTATATTGACATAAGTAGGAGTTAAGTGGAATTATACTTTGTGTTTTATTAGTTTTGATTTTCCTTATTAATAAATAATTGTTTGAGATTTTGGTTAAAACTATCTTTTATTAAATATCTTTGGAAAAGATTTTATTGTAAAGTATTTATCTTTTTGGAAAATCTGAGTTAAGGAAAATATCTTTAAAATCGTGTGTTTCACTTGGTAAAATCAGTTGAGAAAAGTGTGTAAGTTGCAAAACGTTTTTGAGAAAACTAAGGAAAGTAGCGTACACATGCATCCCAAGTTCCACTACTGCTCCTAAAGTAGGGGGAAATGTTGTTAGTGGAACAAAACAAACGGTGTAAGTGGATGCTGCCTAAGTGCTATAAATAGAATGTTTTTCATTGAGGCAAAAACACACTTGAGCATTCTAAGCATTCGTTTTTTCTAAGAGAGTTATTCCACAAGAGTCTTAAAGTGTCCTTGTGGTAAATATTAGAGTAATCTTGAGTGGTAATTTGGGTTTAGGGTTTGATATTGACCTCTAAAGAGTGAAGCTGAAAGAAAGAGAGATTTGAGAGTGCAACTGATTGATTGAGGGATTAGTTGTTGGGTGCATAAGTTCGTTGAGAAACTTGAGCTTGAGTCTTAGATTGTAATACGTTGTTTGCCCTATTATTAAAGTTTAAATCCTTAGTGGGTCGTGGTTTTTCTAGGGCCAAAATGTTTTCCATGCAAAAAACTCTCATGTCACTTTAAGTCTTTGAGTTTACTTTTAATTTCCGCAAAAAGTTTCCCTAGTTCCTTACAATACAATTCACCCCCCTCCTGTATTGTTTATTTAAAGTCAACACGTGGTATAAGTTCCTCGAAGCAGACGAGTGAAGAACCTGGAATCAAGATGAACAATCACGATAAACAGGAATAAGGTTACTCTACACAACTACCACCTATGTTCAACGGAAAGCTCTACACGTGTTGGAAGAATAGGATGGAGATCTTTATAGAACTACAAGTTAGGGTAATCGAAGTTGGTGATTTTGAAGTCACTAAAACAAATACTGAAAATTAGATAATTCCTACAAAGAAGACTTTGATAAAATGGAAATTACTGCATTTGATATGAAACCGCTTCATTGTGATTTTGGTCCTCATGAACACAATTGTTTTATGGCATGCAAGAATGCAAAGGAAATATGGGACTTACATCAAATAACTCACGAGGGTACTAATGAAGTAAAACGTTCAAAATTTGATTTACTTATGTCTAAATATGAACGTTTTGAAATGCAATCCAAAGAAACTATTCAAGAAATGCTTACTAGGTTCACTAACATTATCAATGAATTAGTTTCTCTTGGAAAGAAAATCCCTATTGATGAGCAGGTTAAGAAAGTTCTTTGAAGTCTTCCCAAGATGAAAGATGGAGAGCCAAGGTGACATCCCTACAAGAAACAAAGGACTTCACTAAGTTCAACATTGAACAACTTGCTAGTTCCCTTATGACTCATGCATGAGCTTCATCTAGGAACCAGCAATAGTGAAGGAAACAAAGCAAAGGGTCTGCCACTTAAGGCTGGAGATCAAGAGGACTCTGAGGTCGATGAAGAAGAAGCAGCTATGTTAGTGAGAAATTTCAAAAGGATGTTCAACAAGAACAACATAACATGGAACTTCTCCAAAAGGGTGCAACTTCCAAAATAGATTCTGGATGTCACAAATGTGGCTCTCAAGAGCACTTCATAAGGGAATGTCCACTCCGGGAGAGAGAGAAAAAACGAAGGCTAAGAAACAAAGCAAGAGCAGCAAAACTCCTTTCTACAAAATCGATATCAGAAAAATAATGATAGTTGCTTGGGGTGCTTGGGGAGATTCTGAAAGTGAGGATGAAGATGAACAAACAACCAACCTATGTTTGATGGCCTAATCAGATGATAAAGCTTATTGTGATGAGCTTGCTAAAGAGGTAATCCTTGAATCTAAACAATTAAAAACTCTCTCTAAAGATGTGTTAATTGATTTCCTATTAAAAAAGGAAGAAGATTGGAGAATCGACTGTGTTTGCTAATCTATATGCGAAAAAGCTCCCAAAGTCTACAAGGAACATATTACATGGCTTGGAAACCAAGGCACTTCAAGGCATATTCCTTTGATCTGTTTGACGAAATATGAAAAGGCACGTCAAGTTGATCTTGATGAATTAAGAATTGAAAAGGCATAATTGAAAAAGGAACTTACCATTCGAAGAGGAAGAAGCACTAGTCAGCTAGGTATTCCTAAATGGATTGAGAATGCTTAAACCAAGAGAACTAAAGGTTTAGTTAACATTCATACTAAGCATAAAGGTAAACAGATAAAGTATGTTGTTTGCCTAGCTATAAAATTTGTTCCTTCTGTAATAAAATAAGTCACTTAAATAATACTTGTAGAAAGAAGGAAGAGCCGTTAATAGAAATGTTAAGCAAGTTTGGGTGAGAAAATCTGATATTGCTTCAACGTCCAAGTGAAACTAACCCATAGTTCTTTTGTAGGTCTTGATGAGGAGGAACAACTTGTGGTACCTCGATAGAGGTTGTTTAAAGCATATGACAAGTGATGAATCAAAATTCCCCTCACTTGAGGCCTATCTAGGAGGAATTGTGACTTTCGGAGATAACAAAAAGGGAGAAGTTATTGAAAAAAGGAAAAGTAGGAAGGTCTAGTTCCCATTAAATAGACAATGTATTTTTTATCAAGGAATTGATGCACAATTTGTTGAGTATATCACAATTTTGTGATAAAGGTAACCATATAAACTTTACCTCTTATAGTTGTAAAATCATCAATGACAAATCCGGAAAGGTTGTTCTTAAAGGGATAAGAAAAAGGAGCATTTATTTAGTGGATCTCAAATCTATCCCAAAGAACAACCTTACATGTCTTGAGTGTTATTGATGATGATCCTTTATTATGACATAAACGTTTTGGACATGCTAGCTTTTCACTCATGGACAAACTTCATACAAAGAACTTGGTTATTGATTTAACTTCGGCCAAGTTCCTTGTACCTATGTTACCTGGGCTCGGGTACCCACGTCCGACACGGACACGTGTTCAAGTGTCCGAACCTGCTATTTTGTAAAAAATTTCAATGATTTTGAACTAAAATGAAGTGTCCAAGTGTCGAGGGCTCGACACGGGTACGTGAGGTGAAATGAAGAGTCCAGGTTAGCCTTGTAGAACACATATGTGAAGCATTTGTGAAAGGCAAGCAAGTCAGATGTTCTTTTAAAAGCAAATATATGGTGAGCACCACAAAACCATTGGAATTACTCCATATGGATTTGTGTAGTTTCATGCGCATCCAAGGCAGAAGTGGCAAGAAATATGTGTTAGTTATTGTTGATGATTTTTCAAGAACCTATTTAGTAAAGATAACTAGATAAGACCTTTGATGAATTTGAGTCCTTTGCAAAGAAAGTTAAAAAATCAAGTGGATATCAAATTAACGATATTAGATCAAATCATGAAACTTGGAACTTAGTTCGAAAATTCAAGCTTCAATGATTTTTGCAAAGAACATGGCATGGATCACAACTTTTCAACACCAAGAACTCCTAAGCAAAACGGAAGAATCGAACGTTGGAAAATATGGCAAGAACCATGTCAGCATGTCAGCATGCCACATAATCAACAAAGTGATGATGAGGCCTATTATCAACAAAACTCCATGTTATTTTTTACCTCTACGTTTTGATAATGACTTAAGCAAACACGTGTTAAACTAACTAGTGTGTAATTATGTGGATGGCAAGTAAGGGTGCTAATCGAGTTGAGCAGCTCGCGAGCAATCCGAACTCGACTTGGTCAAAGATCAGTCAAAACTAGACTGAAGTTGCCTCGTGCTTGATCGAATCAGCTCGAAACTCGATAAGTGTACAAGAATTTCAATATTTTTATGTTCTTTTATCTTTAAAAACAAAAAAAAGTACTTTGACACTTGATAAATTTAAATTAATACACTTTAGTAGGAAAAATTCATACAAAGAGAAGAAAATATGATCAACAAATGTTTGAAATTCAATAGACCTAAACCTTTAAACGAGCAACTCGTGATCGACTCAGCTAGACTCAAAAATTAACGAGCACGAGTCGAGTAACCCTCTGCTTAAAACGAAACGAACTTGAGCTTGAGTCTTAGATACTAATAGGTTATTTGCCCTATTAGAATTAATAAGAGTTGAGTTTAAAATCCAAAGTGAGTCCTGGTTTTTCTTCTTGATTAGGGCCAAAAAGTTTTCCACATAAAATCTCTCGTCACTTAAAGTTTCTGAAGTCTACTTTTAATTCTGTAAAAAGTTTCCCTACTTCCTTACAATACAATTCACCCCTTTTATATTGTTTATTTGAGTCAACAATAAGCAATAGTATTTTTCTAAAATGAGTTTTAGGTGATAAGTTGTTTATTAATCCTCATATGCCGAAGAAGAGGAAGTATTTTTGCATGAATTAAGAATCAACGGAAGTCAATAAGAAAAATCACTAATACTATAAGGGAACATCCAAGGTGATGTGAAACATTGGAGTTCCCTTTTTATCCTTTACTAAAATCAGGTAAAAAAAATATAGGAATAAACAAAAGAAAAATAAAATAAGAAAGTAGGATCTTCCTATATACTTCATTTTTTATTAGTTGACAAATTTGGTTTTGGCACACGTAGAGGTGAGAAATAGAAAGAAAATACAAAACAACCCTTACATTACAAGTTAACTACCCACCCCAACACACTACCTTCCCATCCAACTACCCTTCTTCACGACTTAAACACCAGCAACCAAGCCCACCATGGCACCACCACCACCCCTTCCTCCACTCCTTAACCCCACCACCACCTTCGCACTCACCAAACCTCGTCTTCTTCGGCTCTTTTTCCCTCCATAAACCATTGGCCAAGGACAAGCAAACCTATAATACATACGAACGACATCTTCCTTAATACACAAAAGCCAATTAAAAGTAAACATTAAATTTTCTATCTCTTTAATGGAGATTTCTCCGGCAACGCCCTCATCAAAATCTTACAATTCTAAATCCGTAGCTCAAAACAGAGATGGAGGATAAGAGATGCGGCGATGTGACATCATCATATAAAAAAAGCACTTAAAGTCGACAATGGTGGCCGATTAAACCCCATCAAGCCCACCCTTAAATGTACCATATCAAGGGTACCCATACACAATCCAAAAGAACAGAGGAGAATGAGATGACATAGAAATCGAGAAAATGGAATTGTGGTGGTTGTGAGGGAAGGTAGAGAAATTAAAAAAATGTCCACGATGGTCCTCAGATGGGTTATAGAAGAGAGAGGAGAGAGAGTGGGTCTAATGTGGGGAGGGAGAAAGGCGTAAAATTGACATTTAACAATACAATGCTTACCTAAAATAGTATCATGTCAACTACAAAAAAAATAAAGCTTCTCAAAAAGGAATACATGTCAACTAATAAATCAGAGGAAGTACAAGATTAAGGTGAATCCACCTTAGCAATATTTATCATACTTACAAGATATTAATAATACGAAAGAATAGCTATAAACATTTAATCTAGGAGTGTAAGTAACAACTAAAATTTCTGACAGATTTTGATACGCCTAAGATATGACAGTAATTCCATCTGCTACTTGGTCAATTGTGTAAATCTATGATATTATTTTTACTTTTATCTATTATTGCTGGGCATTATTGGTTTGATTTACACACCCTAATCAAAATATTTCCAATAAAGTTGTTGATTTTTCCAACTCCTTTCAAAATCAAAGAGAGTGTACTATAAATTGTCATATATGCTTACTGAAATATCATGCAAGCATCGTGTGCATAAAAACCAGTATTATCATGTGGGATTTTGTTTATTAAGTATTATTGTGCGCATTTAAAAAAAGTATAATCTTGAAGGATTTTGTTTAAAAAAAATTGAAAAGAATAATCCCACTTTTACTCGACTTGTTAAAAATGAGCCAACCTTAGCATAATCTGGGAACAAGTTAACCTTTTACCCCTATTTTCTAAAAACAAGCCTTTTTACCTACAACTTGTTTAACAAGTTAAATTTTTATTTTTATTTTCATTTTTTTCTTTAATTTCTCTCCTCCCACCGCACCACCCTTTTCCCATCATAACCACCACAAGACAACCCCCTTCCCCAGCACCCCTACCCAGCCTAGCCAAGCCCACCACACCCGGCACCCCCACCTGGCTTCTCCAATCCCGGTAACCCCACCACCGCCCCTTCCCCTTTCCCTGCACCACCATAGTCCCACCTATCCCCACCCCTTATTCGAACCAAACCCCTGAACCAAATACCACCCAGCCAGAACCGAATCCTCACCAAAACTCCATCCTCACCTTCAATGGAGGAAAGGAGTTCTCAGTGAAAGGAGCTATAGCCGCTTTTAATGGAGGAAAGGGAAAGACGCTGGTGAAGAAAAGGGGTGGTACTGGATCGGTCGGCGGGGAAAGGGGGCTTGCTCTGACGGGGAAAGGAGCTATGGGTAGTTCAGGTAGGGGATCGGGGAGAAAGGGGGGCTGGTCCCTCAATTTTATTTTTTTTCTTTTATATTAAAAATAGGACCAATTAGCATGTGGCAAGTCACCTTCTAAAATTGGTTACTAACTTAAAAAACCGATTAAGGGACTATTTGGAGCAGATGCGGGGCAAAGGTGGGATTGTTCCCAGATTACACATAAGTGGGACTATTTTGAGGAGATCAGCGAAAAGGTGGGATTATTCTTTTCGATTTTTCCTTTTCAAGTTATGTCGGCTTAAAATAAATTAGGTAACTAATACTAGCAATCAGATGCTGATTGAAAAGTGGAAAACAAGTGCACACAAACAGAGTGAATACAATACTTTGTCCAATGCTTAGATATGGGAAGATTACCTTGTAACTGTAGTATCCAGCAGCATATCCACCTATCAGCCAAAAGAAGAATATTTAGTTAAATGACTTATACATTCCACCAGATCACAGTGACATTTTACAGAACAGATATAAACCTGCAAATATATGGCTGAAACCACAGAGGAACCGATCTTCAGGTAATGGTGGAATAACTTGTGTTCTCTTGCTAATTCTTTGATCAACATCATAAATGGATTCTGAGCCTCCAGGAATATACCGTGTATGCAACTCCAAATCTAGTGAAGCAAACCTTAACTAACATGAAAACATAGCATCTTAGAAATGATGAAATGTCAACTTGGATTAACTGCTTTTGACAATTGACTGCTAAATCAAATAGTAGTGCCCTAAGCACAAGAACCCGGAATAAAAAAAAAGCAATAAACCAAAATTATTCAAACTCGGAATCAATGGCTATATACTAAAAGCAGAATGACACATGTTGTCTCCGGGTTATATATTTTCATGCCATTGTCTCTTTTTTTTCTTTTTTTTTTTTTTCCTTTTTTTGTGAAATCATCTCTTTTACTTTTACAATGAAATGTTTTACATATATTCAATATTTCAATATATTGTCTATTAAGTAATTTTTTTTACAAAATATAATAAGCACTTCAGATATTATTCACTTCTAACACACCAATTTGGCATGCACATACCAGAATACAATAGACTAGGTAAGAAGACAAATTTGCTGATTTTTTTTTTCTACCATTGATAAGAAAAAACTATTAAGTACATTTGAAATTTTATAACTTGATCTGCCTGTTTACCTTTTCTAATCACACATCCTCAGGGCCAAAAAAGTGCATTGCAATTATTAAAAAAAATAGAAAAAATAAATACAATATTAAGATAATATTATTAGAAAAAATTGTCAAGAATAAAATGACCTTTCACCGGTCTTCAAAAAATAAAACGACCTTTTGATTATTCCGGAACAAACGACCTTTGATATGCATCTGCTCAAAATAGAATGTGATCGGTTGGTAACCTGATTAATAACTTCGAGGTAACATGTGTCGTAATGTGATTGGTCGGTTTTTTTTTTTCCAATTTTCTTTAATGAAATTGATTTTATTTTTAAGAAAAACCCACCTGCCATACCCCATCACCGCCGCCCAGCCACCACCAGCCCTCCCCTTCACCTACCATCACGAATTCCGACGAACCCCATCCTAGCACCCTCCAGCCTGCCCGAAATCCTAGCCCTCACCCCCATCGTGACATCGTCCACCAGCCTTGAAAGCCTCCACCATCCCCGAAATCCACCTTTAGCCTTCACCCCCATAATCCTCCACATCCCCAACAAATCCCACCATAACCCATACTAGCCTGGCCGAAACCCCCAGTCCCATCCTCTACGAGCCCGGAACTCCCCCCTCGAAACCCTTCCACCACCAATCCTTACCCCCACCATTCTTGAACACCCAGCACAAAACAGAGCGTCGCGGGAGCGGAAGGGGAGGAGGAGTGGGCTGCCGTTGGGGGAAAAGGGAGGGCTTGGGGTGCTGCGGGAAGGAGGAGGCTGGTTGTGGCGGCGTTGCAGGGAGGGGATGCGGCTGACATAGGGAAGAGGAGAGGGATGGAGCTGAGTTGGCTAATAGGGAAAGGGGTGGTTTTTTCTATTAATTTGTGTTTTTTTTTAATTGATTTTATTTAATTTAAAAGAAATGTAAAAAAAATTAAAAAAAAAAAAATCTTAATGTACCACTATGTGACTCATGTCCGGTTTAACCTATGAAACAAGTTACCGGTTTTTTTTTCTATTTATAGAAAATGTGTGTCAAATGTCGTTTTACTCTTAAATAATCAATAAGTCGTTCTATTTTTGGAAGACCCGTGAAAGGTCATTATATTCTTGAAATTTTTTCCAAATTATTATCCAAGATTCCTATAATATTATCAGTCTTATTTTTTTTCTTTGCTCCAATTTTATCATTTTGGCAATAAAGTTTATTTCAATTAAGATAGAAAAATCATTTTAATAACATCATAACATATACAAATGTATGCATTATATTGTTCTACTCTTAAAAGTCATATAAATAATAGCATCTGAATTATAATAGGAATAACAGACATAAATAATCCCAAAACTTTCAACCATCTTCCAAAAATAAATCCATCGTTTGATTATTCTTGAATAATCCCAATGTTGGGCCTGGATCACCCATTTTGCCGAGCCGCATGCACACTCCACTCCACATTAGTATGATAATGTCCGCTTTGGGCCTAGCCCGCACGGATTTGTTTTTGGCACCTTCCTAAAAGGCCTCAAATCAATGGAGTGCGCTCTCACTTGTAAGGAGCTCTTCACTTCCTTAATCTTTCCATGTGAGACTTGGAATGAACACCCCAACAAACCTCCCATCAGACCAAGGACCACATTAACTCATGGTCTCCCCTCCAGCAAAACGAAATTATCTTGCACTGTCGCTATCACCACGGGACACGCCGTCTGAGCCACAATATCAGGAGAACTTTCGACGCAAGGCACCAAAATCACGAGGTCATACATTTAAGGGAGTGTCCCACACACATAAAACCATCGGCTCTGATACCACTTGTTGGGCCTGAGTAACCCACTTTGCCGAGTCGCATGCACACTCCACTCCACATTAGTATGATATTGTCCGCTAGAGGCCTAGCCCGCACGGATTTGTTTTTGGCACCTTACCAAAAGGCCTCATACTAATGGAGTGTGCTCTCACTTAAAAGGGACTCTTTACTTCCTTAATCTTCCATGTGGGACTTGGGATGAACATCACAATAATATAGGTTTCATCTAAAAATAATTCGAACTTTTGTTTTTGTTATACACAATAGTCCCAAAAGGGATCAACAAAAAGTAACAAAATTAACACTTCAAATTATTAAGGAAGATATCTACATAAATGGAATCATACCAAAACAATCAAAAGTTGGAATTATTCATGTCATTTTTCCATAATAATAACCCATTATAAATGATAATTAAAAACTCTACCACGCACTAAAGCCTCATTCTCTTCACCTAATACAAATATAAGTAGTAAAAAAAAATACAATGGAGAAGTTGTAAAATTAAGCAGAAAAAATAATATAAGTACTACAAAAATTATTTACTTTCAAACAAAATTTCAGTTCAGCAAACATAATTTACTTTCCCTAACAGTAATGTTAGTGAAATTTCAATTTAGCAAAATTAAGGTGGAGAAGTAGAGAATACACCTAACTTTAAAAAACTTGATTACATAAGTTTAGCAATATAAAATGCAAGTGATTTAAACTTGCATAAAACATTGCGTCGATCAAATTTTGTCAACAATAGAAATGGGAGGAATATATGAGTATATAGCACGGGTTCTCATTAATCAATACTCCCTCAATTTCTTTCATATTTTACAAAGTCTGATTCATCAATAACTTTTGACGTCGGTATTGTAAAGAAAATTCAAGTTATTTTGTTTACTTTCTAAATATATATAATTCTTTTTTAGTATATACTATGTACTTGTTAACATTGTAATTCATTATATAATTCATCATTAACATTGTAATTCTTTTTTAATTTGAGTGTTGTTCATTGAATACACACCCTGCCACGATGCACATCTATCAAGCATTAAAAAAAAGTTGTGGTCAGAGAAATTGAACATGAGACCCTTTTAAATTAGATGGTTACTCTAAACCAAAATGTTCCAACTTTACATTTCTACAAAAAATATGACACTAATATACATATATACATATATCCATAATTTAGGGCCTGACCATCTTGCATCGCCCCATGATTGGCACTGATTTTTTTTTTTTTATTATTTCTTAAAGAGAAAAATACAAAAAGGGGGAAGTTTTTGCCTCCCAACAAAGATACATAAAATAAAATAAAATAAAATTAATCAAATAATGCCATGCTCATGAATGTTCATCACGCTTCTGCTATATTTTAACTTTGGCAAACCACATTTACTACCTTACCCCACATGTACACCTTTTAACTTTTTTCACCTTTTTCTTACACTCAATCTACTTTTTTTTACACTCTTTCTTACTTTATCATCTTTCTCTTACACCTAATTATCATATTAAATTATTAACCGTATAAAGTTAACACTTTCTCCTTGTTGGAGGTAAAAAAAATTTAATTTAATTTGTGCGTTTACTTAGTCAAATATCTTCCTTAGAGTGCATGCCAAGGTGGTATGTTACAAGCAAACAAAAATGGAGGAATTATATCTATAAATTATGTTATATCCAAAAGATATCATTTGGCTGAACATTCGTTAGTCAAATGATTCTATTTTAAATTGAACATGTATTCCTTATTTTTATATTATTGAAAATCATTAATGTCCATGCTATCACTTTCCCTTAACAAAATAATATGGAAGGTTTATGCTATCCTTTTTTGTCATTACTTTCGAACTTTAAATTTTATTTTACTTCCTTAGTTCCACCATCAAATTCCAGTTTCTCAAATTAGGAAATGTCATACTCCCTTCATTTTTATTTAAGTGCCCCATAGCGATGGGCACAAAGTTTTAGGCACTTTTGCAATTTAGAATAAAAGAACAAGTAGTATAATGCACTTTGTTATTAAAAAAAAGTATAATAATATAAAAGTGATGAAGTGGCTAAACCACTTGTTGTACCAACAATTATAAAATAATAACACAACTTGCTATTAATAATGGGGCATCTAAATAAAAAAAAAAAAAAAATGGACGCTTATAGTAACGGGGGCACTTAAACAAAAACGAAGGGAGTATTAGTTGCAACCAAAGACACAATTAAAAAGGTTGATTTCACAGCAAACCTATATAGAGAGGCATAGAAGAGAAAAGATGGGTGGGACTAAGTGGATAATCAATGAAGATAACTCGTCAAATCACTACCCTCCCTTATCTCTCTCCAAAATTTGCGCGCCATTTGTTTTGGTTGAACCAAGGAAATGTTTCCTCCACCTTATTTCTTATCTTTGTTTGCTCTACTACCAAATATTTGATTTTGTATCAGTAAATATACAAAAATTATACACTTGGAAAATACACGTTAAGACAAATCTAACAAGACCACATTAACAATGTTCCTTTTTACCACCTTTAATTTGTTTGTCTATCTACTTTTGTTTCATTTTTTTTTCTACCCACCTGTATCTTTTATTCAAAATACAGTAAACATCCCATCACCCCACATTTGCCTTTCTACTATCTCTTTTTTATCCACTGTTTTATTACACCCACACATATAATTACTCCCACATCCACCATTTTCCTTCACCCACTCGTTATGCTATTTTTCTTTGTTATGAGGGTAATGTACCAAGCAACTTTGCATAGGCACAGATAATGTCACTTAAGGTCTTAAGCATGAGTACAATTTAAATATCCAAGCCCCAAACAGGTCGAGGCTTGAAATTTCGAAGACCATAATATCATCAAATTTGGAGATGGGTGCAGGAAAGGCATCTATGAATTGTTGGCTCATGTTTAGTCGTATGTATCCCCATTGCAAGCCCGCAGTGCAAAATATCTCATATGGATGTGTAATTCAAGAAGAAAGGTGCAACATAGATTTAGAGCAGTTGCATTATCCCATTTGATACAACCATCCAAGCCTTTCCTAATTCAAAACAGATTCCAAAACCCCTCCACTGAATCAAATGCCACCCAACTCTCTTTTGATCTAGCACGTTACGGATAGGATCATCAGCTCCCAAATCACAGATTAAAAGGTTAGTTTGTTACCAATCTAATAAACTAGTCAACCCACCAACTTCTTTATCATACAAGGACTGTGCTGCCACTTACTGGTAGGCACTAGATGTACATGGAAGTTTCGAATTTCAGAAGTACAAAGTCAAAGCCTAAGGGTCTTTAGAGTCATAATTAGAAATACCCAGAGGATAATAAAGTCTTCACTCTTCTCCCAATCAAAGAAATCCATAGGCTTTCTTTCAAAAAAAAAAAAATCCATAGACTTGAATTTGAACTGCTGGATTCTTGCCTGGTTTGTGAAGGGAAGACCAAACTCAGTAGGTAAAAAGGCAAAACTTACATTTCCTTCTGTCACGTCATGTAACAAAAATTTATTTTAGAACTGTTATAAGCTTCTTACAAAGGTGCAAAATAATCAAAAACAGAGCTCAACCAAGATTGAAATGTCAAAAGATAGGAGCAAAGCAAGAGAATTCCATTCTCTTTGAAAATTTCAGCAGACTCGATAAATCACTTCACAATTTGGAAATAAACTTAGATCCAGAAGAGAAAGGAATTAAATGTATATTAGCATGAATAGCATCACATAAGCAAGTAAGATACCATAGAGCAGCTATTGAAAATTAGTTTTAATCAAATAGGCTTTGCTAAAAAAGCAAAATCCAACAAACTGATCAGATTATATTAGTTATACTTGAAACATAATAAGACAGAAATATAACTAGCTAACCTGACGAAGGCTCAAAGAACCAGCACGAAAGGTCCTAGCTGCAAGGATTTTCTTGAAAACTTCTTCAGGAAGAGTCTCCCCATTTTCATAGTGTTTTGCAATACCCAACAAAGTGTCTCTGCAGCAACCCACAAGATTCTTAGCCAGGTATTGGTCTTGATTTTTGAAGCACATACCAAAGCAATCTATCCAATATTTTACCTATGGTAGCACCAGTTCTCCATGAATTGAGAAGGAAGCTCAACCGCATCCCATTCAATACCTCGAATACCAGCCACCAGACCTTCATCCTGCCTGTAACCAAATTTTTGTTCCAATCTAATCAATATTTACAAGATAAATAGGCAACCAATGTGTTAAAATACAAACTGGCACAAAAGATACATATAGACATATAGTAGCTATAACCAAAAGTCCAACAGCCTCGATTAGAACATAGAACTCGGAAATAAAAAAAAAAAAGAGTATTAGGGACGTGCCTGGTAAGCATATGTTGAAGTGCGTGACCAAATTCATGGAAAACAGTCTCAACCTGCAACATGAGTTTGAGGAAAAACATTACTCCATTAATCCTGCATACTTCTTTTACTGTCAATTATATCAATTCTACATAATAGGTCAAATTCAACAATGGATTCCTCTTGGTACAGTGCAACAAAGGAATATTGCTACTTCCATTATCAGCAGTCAATTACATGCCTGTAGCTTCACATATAAAACTAAAAATCCTACTTTTGAAAAAAGCACAAACACGACATACAGAAACAAATTATATTACTTTCTAGCACAAACACAGACAGTCAGACACTTCATTATGGACCAAAACACGGATCAATTTCATATACACCTGAATTTTACACTTGATTATTCACCCATGTTTAATCTGAGTTTCAACCCGTGTTTTATTTCAATAAAATAATTTTAGACACCAATTTGATAGAATGGTTATTATATTATGATAACAATGCAATTAATTACTCATAAAAACTGTAAGAACTCGTTTTGTAGGCGGTAGAAATGCGAATATATTTGTTTGTAATTTTTGTAAGGGAAGTCCAATGCCAATACCCATGGTATTGCTAGCTCACTCCAAAGTATCTCTTTTTCTTCATAAATTTTCATTTTCTATTACCACTTCAAGGGGTGGATTTGGGCGCCATGGGCGGTAATTGAAATCAATAAAGAAAAGCACATGTTCAATGATGAAATACAAAATCATGTCACTTCATCAACACATATGGCCTTGTATTAACACATATGGCCGATCAAACGGGCCGCAAGTATCAAGCATATTAGTATATCACACATGGAATCATGAATACAAATTATCTCAGGCATGTTGAATTTTAACTCATCTGTCTTTTGCAGGGTCACCTTTAATATTATCCTCATTATTTAATCATTGAATATTATAATATAATAAACTTTGACTAAGGTGAGGTTGGTAGTTTTTCCTATATCTCCACCTGCAAGCACAAGAATCATATAAGCCCCCACTATAAATAGCCTTGAATACTAGAAGAAACGTGCCTATGCCAAAAATTGTGTCATTTTATTTTATAATTTCCAACACAAGCAAAGAATATACCAAGATTAACAGAATGCCAAAATGTGTGGCCACTTTGTACCTACCTTTCAACACAAAACCAGAGAATCTAACAAAATTAAGTGATGCCAAAAACTAGGCCATTTTATTTCTATATTTCCACACATAACCGGAGAACAGGAAAAAATTCCAAGAGTTTGTTTGAAGTGCATGACAAAAATCACCAAAGCCCAATATAGCTAACAAAAATAAGTGAAGTACTCCTAATACAAAGCGTTGAATTCCCACCCCCCCCCCCTCCCCTCCCAAATACATCTAACATTGAAGTTGGCAAAAGAAAGAAAAATAAGGAATTGACTCATCAAGTTAATGTGCATAATTGGACCTACATTATTTGAAATTAAAAATAAAAAATAAAAATCGGAGTAATACCATTTGTGAATCCAGTTTACTTGACATTATGCAATGACAACTCAAAGAGATACAGTGCCAAGCTGGTTACATACCCACAACATGAGATAATGGCGAAACACATCAACAGTTTTATAACCCTTAATTTGACCTCAGCCCTTTTAACAACTACTTCACCGAGCATGGCACCAGTGACAGATCTTTGAGGGGGTTGGCAGGGGCCTGCCACCGTCTCCTGCCCCCCCCCCCCAACAATTATTCCAGCCAGCCACCGTCTCCTCCTCTCCCCCCCCCCCCTCCCAACAGAAACTCATTGTTTAGCAGAATGGTTAATATATGTTCACCTTCATAGACAATCTACAATATGATGTACCACGGACTTGAATCAACTAAGGGCATTGAACTTACTTCACGGAATGTCATAAGGCTTGGCTTGTCGCCAAAAGGTGGAGTTTGATTGCAAACCATATGTGCAACAGGCAGCCTCACAGAGGAACCATCACGAGACAAGACACGACTTCGAGAAAAAACCTCATCCATCCACGCACCACCTCGTTTTTCTGAGGGACGAGAGTATGGATCAAAATAGAAGTATGACACAGGAGAACCTGAGGAATCCTTGACACAATAGAACCTAACATCTTCGTTCCACACCTATGAACAACCATGTATCATTAGTATCATTACAACAGAACATTTTGCAGGTTATAAAGAAGCAATGTAAGGATAAGCCTTACTGGAGCTACACCATCAGCAGGCTCAATATCAATCCCAAATAACTTCTTTGCTAGGGAAAACAGGCCATCCATCACCTTTGGTAATGAAAAGTATGGACGTAGCTCCTCCTACAAAAAAATTTGAAAACCATAATACATAATTGTGCCCCCTTTCATCCAATCAAAAAGTGCCAGCTACCAAAGCTTACCCCCAAAAAATGTCAAAAAACAAATTCCAGCTATAATATGAATGTATTATTAAGCCAAATATATATTTAAAAAAAGAAATTCATTTTTCAAGAGGCAAAACCGTAAATAACTCAACAAAAAAGTACAGTCAGCATGGCATTTTTGTAATTATATCAATAATCGTGGGCCCATATTTAATAAAAAGTTGTTGATTTATTTACATTTTTTTCTTTTTTTTTTATGCAAGCAATGCTTAAAATATAATTAGAAAGCACATTTTTTTTCCATTTGATAAACAAAATTTGTTTAGTTTATCAAGGTAAATAAATAAAAAACTTGCCAAAAAAAAGGATAATGCTATATGTAGCCCTAAAGGCTACAAATAAGCATTAAATATCTTTCTTTATTTGGTATTAGTTTAGGAATGCATAACAAAAATCACGCGCAAATCAGTGTAATTTATGAACATATTTCATTAATACTTTCCTTCTTTAGCTTCTCATACTTAGCCCTAAGGGCTATGTATAGCATTTTCCAAAACAAAATAGTAAGAATGCTCAAATCATGATGGCAGGATATTGTCTAAAAAAGTTTGGATTATTACACCAGAATATAATATAAAAACGAGATTTGAAGCAGTGCAATAAAGAACCAGCTCAGAAGCCCCATTTTGATAACCAAATCTACTATTAAAGTTCCAAAAGACAATGGTTGATTCACAGTTTTATATGGAAATGGAAGGACTGAAACACCCTCAAGTTTCTAGAAGTGCCTCACAAAACAGAACAATGTTAATCCAATTTCTAATTTCACACCATAGAGGACATAAGAGAAAGAGAATGTCCGCTTGTAAGACACCAAAATCATAAAGAGAACACAGATAGAGATTCACAAGAAGAAGCCAACCTCATTTATATCATATTTTGATTCACGAAGCCTTTCACTCCAAAAGCTGATATCCCAATGGGTCATGTTGTCAGCCTCAGCAGCACCCTGCTGCTTGGAGAAACCTTTTATGTCTTCCAGATCTGAGAAAGCAAAAAATGTGTTCTAATGTAAAATGAAATCATAGATAACCCCATAGTTCACTTCCATAAGAAAATGAGAATGAAGATGCTCGCAAAAGTTATCAGAGTACCAGATGTTACAGTAACATTTGAAGGACTGCATTTGAAAATACTTTTTCTTAATGCTGAATACCAACAGTACAGGATTAAGACAGCCCTAAATCAACCAGCAAGATTCTAGCCACCAAACAATTACTCCAGGGATTTTTTTATTTTTTTTAATTATTTACTCCAAGTTTTAGATGTGAGACATTCAATTATTTGCTAATATACCTTTTTGAACGGATCTTACCCAAAAAAATATATAAGTAAACAAAATCAGTAGGAAAGTTAAAAACTTCGACCTTTTAGATAAAAGAGGTTGGGATGGCAATCTGTGACATCACTGACATGCTTCTTTTCCCTTCCAAACAACTTAAAACTATAAAAATGTATTACCTGCTGCTTTGGCCATGTTGCACAAAGTGTTCCTCTACCCTAATCTAAGAACCACTTCAACTGCAACATCCTTACGGGAATGCAGAATCAGAAATGATGAATGCATGGTAAAAACATGATAAAAGTAGAATTGTAGACCTGGAACAATTGACCCATACTATGTAACATAAACTTTTTAGCCGGATCAAAATCCCTATTTCAGCCTAAAATAATGACCCAAAATTGAATTGTAACTCAAAAATACCATACCGACCAAAACTCTTGCCCAAAATTAGACAAAAAAAAATATGGTGATACACACCTGAAGCGAATCTAATCAATATCTACCCGACTTTAGAACCGAATAAAACACAAACATTAATGACAAACTCAACTAAAAAGAACAAAAACACTTAATGCTGTTGTATTGATATATTCTAGATGAATACCTCTTTCCGATAGTGGATGATAAATGAAGAGTTTCAAATATCACACAGACTTGCTTGCAAGCATTAGAATCCATAAACTTCACATAGTCGACTTTGGAGACATATATTTGCATTTATGTCTAAATTACAAGTGAGAAAGTGGGCAAACCTCATAATGGTGTTACAATTTATAACATAACAGGAACTATTTAATTTAGACCCCCTTATAAGAACGAATTCATTTCCAAGAATTACCTTGAACAGCAGAATTCCAAGATGCAACACGAAGCTTTTCTAGGAGTTCTTCTGCTTTATCAACAGTTGCCATTTTCATAGCCATGCTCACCTATAAGAATGAGCTTCAATAAATCCAAAGGATAACAAAAAAAACTATGGGCATTTCTTGAATAAATAAATACCTCTGCATAATTGTTGTATCCAAGAAGCTTTGCCTTCTCCAACCGAAGCTTTAATATTTGGTTGATATTTTCAGTGTTATCAAGGTCACCACTCGAAGCACGTGTCACATAAGCCCTGTAAACTTCCTCACGTAAAGACCGATTTCGAGCATGTTGCATAACAGGCATAAAGCTTGGAGCATCTAATGTAATAATCCATGGGCCATTATCAGCGGTAGCATTTTCATGTCCCTAATATCAATTATCAGATATTAATAGATATATGAAAGATAAAAACGAGTTTGTGTCGAAAAAAGACCACATAATGAGAAAGCTCCAGCATTTAATAGACTACAAAGGATAATTAAAAAAATTTGTTTTTTTATATAGTAGTATCCAGGCAAAATACCTTGGACACAGCTGTTTGAGCAGCCAACCCCAAAGCAGTGGCAGGCAATCCTTCAATTTCTTTTGGGTCGGTCACTAATTTTTCAAATTTCTTCGTTGCATCCAGAACATTCTCCTCAAACTTTTGAGATAGTCTTTGCAATTCCTGCAATCAAATTGCATACATAAAATTACCAAGATACAACTATGAGCATAGAAAAATAAAATGCTGCAAGAGATTTTTATCAACAATAAAAGAAAACAAAGAAGATCAAACGTGAGAGATATTCTCTCGAGACAGGTTACAAAACAGCAGCAAACTTGCACTTGGATTGATCAATTCGAAAAAGAACACAAAATTTCAAGCAGCAAAGAGGAAAAAGGAGTAAACAAAATTTGAAGGATGGAAAGATGTTTCGTGGGGCAAGGATCAGCAGCTCTGGACCAAACTAGACGGGTGTAGAGTTCACCAGCTCCTTAATGAAGCACCATAATGAATGAATTTGCAGTCCAAGGTTTAAAAATGGTAAACTAACCTTTCATGCAATGGTGAGCGACTTCTAGACAAAAACTCTGTTCTAAATTTTAAAAGGTGATGCAAGACAGTCAGCCATGAATATATAATGAAATATACATAGAAAACAGTAGTAATGACAAGGAAAGTAATCAGACAGTGAACAGAACAGTACTACACAAAACTATGAATGAAAACACAGAGAAGACAAAAGATCAGTTAAATTATGCTTAATGCAGGATAGACAGTCCTCAAAAACTCAGTATAGTCCAACGACCTCTTGCTACCCTGTACCCAGACCCTGCAACTGCCCTTACAAAAGTTATGGTCTCCAATTACTGTGAACGATAAAGAGGTGAGAGGAATAGAGGAGCAAGGAAGAAAGCGCACCTGCTGAATCTTGTTAAATTGGTCTCGCTTGTCATCTTCGAGAGAAACACCACTGAGAACAGCCTCCTTCAATTGATCTAGAATCAGAAAGCGAAGGGGCAAAACAATTAGGACAAAATAATAATCAAATCTAACTTTTAAATAAAGAAATAGGCCAAGTTCATTGGCATATACTTCCTCCGTTTCCTACTAGCTGAAAGCCTGACATATTTTGACTTTTGCACCATTTATAAAAGTTACCATGACCTCTTTGTAATTAATACTTGAGAAAAACGTCATGTGGGGTCTTGTTATCGTCACAATGTATATTTTCCAAATATCAACTTTTTACAATTTTTGCCAATGGATAATTGAAGATATTGGTGTCTGAAATCATGCATTGACAAACGTGCCTAAAGAAACTAGTGAATTAATTTGAAATGCAACTATGCAAGTAGTAGGAATTTCAAAGTTTTGAACTTTTGGTTTGCAAAGTTTTTATTAAATACACAATATTATTACATCACATTCTTCACATAAGACATATATTTAGCTAGCAAGAACTGGCCATGGTCCATGACAGTAATATTAGTCATTTATACAAAGACTTAGTTGTATATTTTAATGTTTTATTAGTCTATAAAAAAAAATAGTGCTATATTGCTCAATCTATTACATATATATTTAAGAGATTCTAGGAGATTTAAGTTTTTCTTTGAATAATACTACATCAGCTCGTTTTGAATGAGTTAAAGTTACTATGCACAAATATCAAGGTGGGTAGGAGAGAAAGAGAGCATGTAACAAGTGAGCAATATGTATATGTAAGAAAAGGTAAGAGAGATAAAATTGTAAGGTTCATGCAAGAAAAAATAGGAAAGAGCGTCATAGGTGGGGTTTCAGTAAGAAAGAGTAGTAAATAGAATGTTGCATGTGGGGTAAAAGTGTAAAATATCATAAACAAAGATAGATGAGAGAGGAAGTGTGAGCAACTCAAAGGAATGAACGAAAATGAAAATGAAACCAACTTTAAGGAACGAGTAGTAATAATTGAAGCAAGAATTCTATATATTTGTACATATTAATATATTATTATTATAAACTGGATTGGAGCATCAGATACATGGCCTGTATCTTGATAAACACATTCTAGTTTGGATTTGGTTTAGTTTACCCCCCCCCCCCTTAAAGGTCATTTATATTTTTTGACTTGAAGCTACTTATTATAATTAAAGATTTAATGAAAATTGCAAGATTAGGAAACTCACTTTCAACAATCCTTTTACGAGGCTCGCTCAACTTCGGCCAATCAGGGGATTCTTGGATAGCTTTGAATGCATTGTAAAGTGGCTTGCTTTGGCCCAACCTAAGCTCAAATTTTACCTTCTCGGGCTGCACATACAGAAAAATTAAAGAAAGTCAGCACCAAACAAACCTTATTCATGGCTTAGTAGCATGAACTCTCCCCTCCTTCAAAATAAAGTATAATACACTAAAAAAAGGGAGCTGTAAACCCAGCTTATAAATAATATCCTTCTGTTAATGAGCACAGTAAATGTCAATCTACAATTTAATGAATAATATCAAAAAAAAAAAAAAATCAACTAACACATACCTACAATGATTAAATTGATTAACTTTTCCCAGGACTCCTGCTCACCTTCTCTGACTTAAGGATATATGACCGACAAGTGATGATATATGACTCAAGCAATATTGATTCTTCCCCGGGGAATAAATAAAAAGATGGCCCTATACATTTTGAAACAAAGAGTTTTGGATGCATTTCAGGCGTTCCATGCCAAAGTCGATCAAAAAACTGGCATGAATAGACATGTGAGAACAGAAGGTACTTTCAGGAATATTGCAGAGGCGCCACAGAAAAATGAATGAAAATAGAGGAAGACATCCAGTTGATTCTCTCTCATCCAAGGCTACCTAAATCCTTTAGAAGGGAACCAACAAGAGCTATGGTAGTATCTTTTAGAGCCATTGAACAACAATGTTCCAGAGAGGGAAAAAAATCATGGTCAAAGATACAAATCCACAGTAACCCATAATAATTGAAGTGATAAGTAGGTGTTTTTAAACCACATGGACACATTGCAAACTTAGTGCACTAGTACAAAGAGGCAATAGCATTTAAAAATTTTCATCCCAAGAAATTTAATAAATAGTGGAATCCATGGCATGCTAAAGCATACAAAACAAGTGCACATGAGTCAATGCCAATGAAATATTATGCCCTTTGAAGAGAGAGTTTGACAACGAGCGTAGAAAGATATCAAATGATCCCGTACATTTCACATTCCATCAGAATGTCATACCAAAGCCACTCATCTAGTTTGTGAGCGTGAGAGTGTTATCTTTATATCTGATACGCTAATCCCCAACATTTCACTTGGGTATCCAAGACATACAACTGTAAGTCTTTCTATAGGTGGTTGTATTCCCATAACTTTTATTATGAAAATATATTATTGATGAGGTTCTGTTGTCAAATTCATCATTAGAAGAGTCTCCCAAGTAGATATCAACCAATCATTCTTTTGAGCATATCAAATGTCAGTTTAAGAATATTAATACATTATTAGTTGCAAATCAGAGTACTCAGTATACAAATAACCACTGTAACATCCTCCTTATCAGTATGCACAACCACCTTTACAACAATAAACTCGAAACGGAGAGAATTCCATATATAAGGCTCTTCTACAACATTAACCTATCAAAATTGCTCTGTGAAAAGTACAATAATAAACCTATAAATTGCGATAGTAGCATTATCTAAATCGACCACCTGCAATCCAAATACGAAAAATAACACCAAAAACAAGTAAACTGATGTACAATTTAACAAAATTAATCCAACCTGAACTTCTTCGATAGCAGTTCGAAGTTCCGCGCAGTCTTTAACAGACTTAAGATGATTCACCATTCCCCAAACAACACTCAATTTATCAACAATCTTCTCCAAAGGATCCACCAATTTCTCCCATTTCGGCTCAACATTTTTCTCCAATTCATCCAATTGACTCTCCTGCAATTCAAAATCACTCCAATCAAACCACCAAAAACAATCAAAATCAACAAAATGAAATAATCAGAATTACCAATTGCTTCAAAACAGCGCGAATTCCAGGGCGAACATGCTCAGGCTTAACCGAATCGAAAGGCGGAAAATTAAACTCCGCCAATAAAGGATTAGATTTGTCAAAAGCAGCAGCGATCGGCGAAGAGGCAGTGGTAGCCATAGAAGAAGAGAAAGAGGTCGAAGAGAGAGAAACTGAGGTAGAACGACGTCGAGCAGAATCGAGGCAGAAGGAGAAGGAAGACGACCAAAGAGGGCAAGGATAAGATTTGCGGAGAAGTTTGGGAGAGTTTCGTGAGGAAGAAGAAAGGTGTCGAAGGTGAGAGAGTGCAGAAGGAGGTAAGCGAGGGCGGAGGAGAGAGACTGAGAGAGTGCGTGATAGAGTATAGGAGGACGCCATTAGAAGGTTGAGTAGAATAAGTAGTGTTGACACGTTAAGATGCTGCTGCTGGTGGTTTGGGTTGGACTTGGGTACGTTTCTTCGGAACATTGTGTACATGATGGATGTTTTGTGTTTTGTGTTTTGATTTAGTTTTAATTGTGGTGGGCTTGTTGTTGCTTTTTGTCTTTTGGATTGACCATAATGTTTGGTAATTGATGATGCTTTTCACCACAGTGTAAGTCAACGTGCCTATCATCGTTCTATCTCATCTTTAAAGATTATGTAATATAGGGTGAGCAAAAATTATGGATATCCAGTTTTGGAATCATAACTGGTTTAGACTCATTGGGTCCAAATCCGGAGCTGTTTAGCTGGGTTTGAATCCAATTTCAAATCCTAATTTTTTGTACCTGATACTCTTCGTGTACCCAATTTAATTATATCCATGTCAGTTTTGATTGGTAGGTTCTGAAGGAGTAGTGTCCTTCGAACAAGTGTATTATTCCAATATATTGTTCGATTAATTACGGAGTTAATTATTCAATAAAGTCAAGTAATCCAAATGTCTATTAAAAAACCACCTTCGATCAGTGAGAATAATATAATTAGTCTCACGTATTGCTCTTGACTGAACCTATTAGGTCACACCCTAAGCACGAAATCAAATTGTTATACGGGTTGGACCGAAAGGCCCATATACGTCTATAAATATAATTTAGATCAATACATTAGTTTTGGGCTTAGAAGCGTCAAATCCAAGTGTACAACGTCAAACCGATCCAAAAAATCAGTAGATGAAGGAATAACGTCAAGCGAAACGACGTGCTAGACCGAGCACTAGGACTAGTGCACCACTAGCGTGGGCGCAAGGCCCATCCGATGCTAAGGTACAGCCTAGGGCGGGCACAAGGCCCAGCCATGGCCTTGGGCCAAGCCACACTATCTCGCGCGAGCAGCAAGTCAAGCCTTGCTCGTGGCGCGTTGGCTTGCCACAAGCCCACAAGCAAGCAGCAGCGCGCTAGGCCCAGCCAAAAGCTAGCCTGCGCATTGTGTGGGCTTGTTGCTATGTGAGCTACCATGGGCTGGCAAGTAGCCCCAACAACCTAGCAACACAAGGCTTAGCCTTGTTGTTGCCTTAGCATGCAAGGCGCGAGCCTGTTGCCTTTGGGCGCAAGGCTCGACCTAGCACCTGCCTTGCCGCAAGCTTGGTGCGCAAGATATGTAGGCCTACATTAGTGGTGTGTGTGTGCATATGTGAGGTCCACGTGACACTTGATGATTGGTTAATTAACTCATTATGATTATTTTAAGGAGGTGTATATTTATTATAAATACCCCAAGATCATTTGATGATCATACAATTAATTGGAAAATTAATATTACCTCCTTAAAGTTATATACCCTAGATCTAAACACGTAACCCCGAGGGACCTTATCTGGTATTCTAAGCTAATACACTCAAGACAGGTAAGATCGTGCGGGGGGACTTTCGATAGAGGGATTGCACTTGCGGTTCTTGGCTCCATTCGTACTAACAAACACACTTCAAAGGTATAATCTTTAGAGTAGATTATTCATTGTGATTAATCTTTTGCATTATACATGGATTCGGGCTTAGGGTTGTTACCACACTCGTAATAATTAGATTAGAGTAAAACCCAATAATCATGATAAGTAATCAATGTCCTGTTTGGTTTCTTTCTTTTAGGTGTAAAATTTTATTTTACATATTTATATATAGTACTTATCTTAATTTTTAAATTCAATTCATTAGAATAAATATTTTCATCAAAAAGTTTCTCATATGATTTCATCCATATAAAAAAAGCCATTTTAATAGTTTCATCCATATATTGATAGCTTCAACCTTCTTCAATGGCGCACTATTTCATATTCAACCTTCACTTTTTATTCAAAACTCGTCCTTAATTTACCTATGTATATATAAAATCAATAAAGTCAATATATAATCATCATAATTATTCTTCAATTTTAAGTCAAATAAACATGAAAATTTAAATTAATTATAGTGATTCTAATCAATTTAATCATCTTATTTACAAATTTTTTTGTTTAAAAAATCATTGTAGGAAATTTTCTTTGGTATTCACATATTTTTTAATTTTCTTTTTGGTGAACAGCAATAATTTCAATTATCTTTGGTAATCATGAATTATTAGTATATATTAACAATAGCATTAATGATATTATTTGGTTAAATAATTTTTTTAATAATTAAATAATTTTTTTAAATAAAAACCCACTACCCACTTCTTCCCCCGCCACCTCGATCTCCCCTGCTCCCTACGGCCGGCCCAAACCCCTCCCCGACGCCGGCGCCACGCTGAACCCCCATCCCCCTGTCGCCGCGAACCCCTGAACTACCCAATCCCCTTTCCCCCTTTCCCCCTTCCCCGACCACTTACAGGCTTGGGCAGTGTCAAGCTTACAACAGGCTCAACCCCATAAACCAAAATGAAATACTTCAAATGAAGGCTTGGAACTCAATTTTAGAAGTTGAGAACTACTTCGGCGAAACGGTAGTATCGTTAACGGCGCCAAATCAAAGCCATGAACTCCGATCTTGAGGAGAGAGAAACTCCATTGAAATTGCATCACCTTCGCACGAAAGAGATCAATCCAAGAATTTCATAACCTAACTTTGCTTTACTCCAACTATCAATGGTCTCGATTCTCCAATTCTCCTTTCATCGGCAAACTTTCCAGTTTTTGTCGTCAATTTTGTCGTGCTAGGTCTTGTCGCCGGAAGTTGTGTTTGCCTCTTCCGGTTCCTCTTCCGTCCAAATCGGTTCATTATTCACTGTATTTTTCTCTCTATTTAACTCAGATTATACTGAGTTTAACTTAATTTTATCTGTTTGATTACTTGATTTGAGCTTAAGTATTGCGTATTTGTGCATTTTTAACTTGTTTCTGTTGATATATAAGTGGGCACCACATAAGAACTCAAAGATTACTTCACAGTACCTAGCTGAGAGGTACCTTGAAGACTGGAGGGATGACCCCACATGGAAGCTAGGTGCATTCATTAAAAGGGCAAGAAGAGAGTGTAGAGTAGAAATAGGCTACTACTTGGCATGGTATGCTAGGCAGAGGGCATTTAAGATGATTTGGGGGGAATGCAACTTTGGAATATGAGAAGGTTTGGGATTATGCAGCTGTCATTTTGAAGTATAACCCAGGAAGTACAGTTGTTATGAAGGTAAATGGAGTGCTTAATCCCAACCTGTTTTCCAGAGGTTATATGTGTGCTTGCAAGCCTGCAAGCAAGGATTCATGGCAGGATGTAGATCAATCTTGGGAGTGGATGACGCTCACTTGAAGGGGGCTTATCCAGGCATTCTACTGACAGCTGTGGGGAAAGATGACAACAACAACATCTTCCTAGTAGCATGGACAGTTGTAGAAGTAGAAAATGGAGAAACTTGGACATGGTTTTTTGGAGTTGCTAAGAAAGGACATAACAACAGTTGCAGACTCTGTCACTTGGGTTCATGAAGCTGATGAGCTCACTTACACGAGTGACATGCAAAAGGTATTTGTATTGCTTACAACTTAGTTTTAATCGAAACAAAAGTTCTGATAAAGTAATATCAAGACACCTCATGCTTCATACACCTTACATTCAAAAAGCAGAAGCGTAAAGAATGTATACAAAATAAGCAAGAATTAGACTATTTTACTCCAAGCATCCCATATTTGAAGTCCTTTTAGCCCCTGTAGAGCCCTCACAATTATGCATAAGAGGAACTTATGCTCCTTACCAAACAGACAATCATCAACAAAGCAAGTGATAATTGCAGACACAAAGAAACTAAAAAATCCCAATATACGAGAAAGAACAGGTTCTGATAGGTCCCCCAAAAATTGCATTTTGACCAAATTATGGAGTTCAAATAATTTTTAAAAATGATCATAAATTGAATATAAGGGAAATAAGGCCATCAATTTGTTAATGGAATATCTTATTAATCAACTCTACAATTATCCATTAGCAATTGCCGACAATGCTACAGTCAAACCAAACTCGCCTATTTTATGCTTATTGCTTACTCTGAACATATGACACAGGGCCTATTAGATGCATTTGCCACAGTCATGCCTAATGCAGACACTAGGTACTGCTGCAGGCACATTTGGAGCAACTTTAAGAACAAATTCCCTGGGTCTGTCTACGAAGAGCACTTTTGGAAAGCTGCAAGATCTACCACGTACAGAGGTACAACATATTTGACATGTCTTTGACTTTTGGAAAGAGCACATTCACTTGCTTGCTTATATATGCAACATATCTTTCATGTCTTTCACCTTTTGTGTACTTTTGGTTATGTATGGCCATAGCATCACTTCAAGCAGCATATGCAAGAGATCAAAAACACTACAAGCAAACAGCTAATTTCCGACGGAAAAATTCCGTCGGAAAAACCGGAAAATCCGTCGGAAAGGCCGTTTCCGACGGAATTCCGCCGGAAAACCCTTCGTCGGAAATTTGGGGTATTCCGAGGGAAATTCCGTCGGAAATCAGCTTTCCGACGGAATTGACTCTGTCGTAGCAGAATTTGACTTTCAACGTAAGTCCGTCGGAACTCTAACCTTCCGACGGAATTTGCCGTCGGAATCTTCTTTTTCCAAATTTTATTAAAAAAAAAAAAAGCCCAGTTCCCACCACCACCACCCTCACCAGACCTCCCAGTCTAATCCTCCCCCATCCCACCCACCCTACCACCACCTGACCAGAACCAGACCCAAACCCCACCCACCCACCACCATCACCGTAACCCACCCCACCCACTGAACTCCCTAACCCACCCAACCCCACCACCGTAACCCACCCTAGCCCACTGAACCCACCACCCTAACCGAGGGAACCCACCACCCACTGAACCCACCCCACCACCCCGAAACCCACCCCCCTTATCCTTCCCAGACCCACCCCACCCCTGACCAGACACACCCCACCCCACCAGAAACCCACCCCACCACCAACCAAACAACAACAACAACAACAACCGTGAACACCACCATCACCGTAACCCACCCCACCACCCCGAAACCCACCCCTTATCCTTCCCAGACCCACCCCACCCCACCACCAACCAAACCCACCCCCACCACCAACCAAACCCACCCCCTCCCTATCCCACACCAAACCGAACCCACCCCACCTAACCCTAACCCTAACCAAACCGAACTCACCCCACCACCAACCAAACCCACCCCCACCACCAACCAAACCCAAATCGCAAAAAAGAATCGTACAAAATCGAAAAAAAATCGCACAAAAAATCGAAATCGAAACAAAATTGAAAAAATAATTAATAAAATTACATACAATCGTAAAATTAATAACTAATTAACATAACTAATCGTAAAATAATTAATAAAATTACATACAAATTTACATTACATTACAAAATTGAAAAATAATTAATAAAATTGTTGTTGTTGTTGTTGTTCTTCACGTTGTTGTTGTTGTTGTTGTTGTTGTTGTTCACGTTGTTGTTGTTGTTGAAGTTGTTGTTGTTGTTGACGAAAAGAGAAGGGATAATGAAGGAGAAAAGAAGGAGAAAGGAAGGAAGGAGAAAGGAAGAAAGGAGGAAGGAGAAAGGGGCGAGGAAGGAGAAGGAAGAGAAGGAGGAGAGGAGGAAGGAACGAAGAAGAAGAAGGAGAAGGAAGGGAAAATGGAGAAGAAGCAGAGAAGAGGAAAGAGGGGAGGAGAGAGAAAGAGAAAAGAGGCGGTGAGAGGAGAGAGAGAAAAGATAAGGTTTTTTTTTCTTTTTATAATAATACATTCCGACGGAATATTCCGTTGGAAACCCCTAATATTTCAAAAAAAATTATTTTTTTCTTTTATTTTTTCCGACGGATTTTTTTCCCTCGGAATTCACATCTTCCGACGGAATATTCCGTCGGAAATATATGTTCCGACGGAATTTCCGAGGGAAAAAATCCGTCGGAATATTTCTGAGGGATTTTTCGACGGAATTTACCTTTTCCGACGGAATTTTCTGAGAGACCAAAATTCCGTCGGAAATGTTGAAATTTCCGACAGAATTTAAGTCCGTCGGAACGTTTCCGTCAGAAATTGGCCTATTTCTTGTTGTGAAAGCTAAGTGTAGATGCCTTTAACTACTTACAAGCCATTCCACCTGCTCATTGGTAAAGACACAAATTAGCTCCTCCTCCAAGTCAGGTATGCTCTTGAACAATTGTTGTGAGAGCTTCAACAATGTTCTCAGAGAAGCTATAACCAAGCATATTCTGCAGTTGATGGAGTGGGTAAGAAGATATGTAATGGGAAGGTTTTTTGCAAAAAAGGAAGGGCTAAAATCTTGCACTGGTGTGATCATGCCAAGTGTTCTGAAAATGGTGCATAGAGGTCTGCAACAAGTGTCAAACATGAGAGTAAGTCAAGCTGACTTAATGGATTTTGAAGTTGATGACTCAGGAGACACTTATGTTGTCAATCTGGAAAACAAAGCTTGTAGCTACAACAGATGGACACTTATGGGAATTCCTTGCTGGCATGCACTTGCCTATATTCAATTGAGAAGGCTTGTCATCGAGAACTTCATCCACCAAGCTTATCATGTGGAGACCTACACCAAGGCATATGCTCCAACTTTTAAAGAAATGCCAGGTCATTAGCAGTGGGAAGTCACTCCTTATCCCAGGCCATTACCTCCTGTACACAGCAACTTACCTGACAGGCCTTCAAGTAAGAAGAGAAAGAAAGAAGCTAGAGAAGATAAGGAGAGGAAGAATGTCAAGAGAGCAAAGGTGCAAAACAAATGCTCTAATTGTGGTGGGTTGGGGCATTATAAGAATAACTGTCCAACCCCACCTATTGATAAGCTAGAGGGGCAGCCTGGAAGACCAAAGAAACTTGCAGCAACAGGGCAAGCAGTAGCAGGACAACCAGAAGCAGGCCAAGCAGCAGGAACTACCTCATCCCAACAACTGAGTCAATCAGCCGAAGCTTCACAACACTTCATCTCACTGTCTACACCCCAACATGGAACCCAGTAAGCAAGCTCACTGAGTTAATTAAACTTTTAATGTCAGGACCTATATATATTGTATGTATTCAAAGTTGCTCTGACAACTAATCTTTTGAAAAACAATTGGTGTACTTGTTTTTTTACACCAACTTATGTTATGGTATTTATGTTTTAACCAGTTTCATTGCTTCAATTCCTCTTACATTGTGTGCATGTTATTGTTGCTTCAACATTTGTGACAGTATTTAGAAATCAAAAAATGCAGTGAGTAAACAAGATGGCACAAAAAGAGTAGATAATTATATTGTATTTTATTTCATTTACAAGGGTCCAAAATACACAAAATATTTAGCACAATCTACTTAGCTAAAACCCCCCACATACTTAGCTTAAATCCCTACATACTGACCAATCTAAGCAATTTACTACCTGAACCAATCTGATTACCAAAACATCCCACAACCTTAGCATTCTACCTAACTAAACATTTTCATCAACAACACACTAACAAACAAAGAAACAACAACACATATGCCAACTTGCTTAAACCCCCTCTGCTGCATCTCTGGTATAGAGCCTATTTGCATTCCCCTTTGAAGATTGTTGTGCTCTTTTAGGCAAGCAAGCCTAGCCTTGACAATAGTCAACTCGGTTTCCCTCCTATGCCTCTCACCTAGTAGAACATTAATCACTTCACGTTGTCACTCCGTCTGCTCCTCATCCAGCCATTTGAATGTGTTGCAACCTCGTTCTCCAGTGTCGTGGTTGTACTTTTTGCAAGCCTCGAACCTTCTTCCTGGAATTTCATGAGTCCGGGAATATCGCTTCGCACAAGGAAAGCCACATGCACAATTCGCCATTTTACCTACAAAATTAACAACAACAGCAGAGGTATTAGTGAAGAGCAAAAAACGCATAACAGAAGAATTAGAGAAGAGAAGAACGATGGAGCGCTACAATGGTGAATTCATCACTGCAATTGTTAAACAAATAGATGAAGAACCCTAATTTACCTTTCAATTGATCTGATTTGGGTGGAGATTTGCCCTAATTTCTGTTGGAGTGATTTGGGGAGGATTGCCCTAGAATATTTATAGAGGGATAATTAGGGAGCCAAACAAAAAAAGAGGGAAATTTACCCAACTGTTGGCTGCAAGTAGGAAATAAATGGGTCAACGCCTGAAAGTGGGAGTCAATGCCGGAAAAGAGAGCCCAGGTTTCATTAAACAAAAAAAGTGATCGTGGTGGTTATTTTTAACAAAGAGTCGTTTAAAAGGTTTTTTCTTGCAAAATGAGGCATTTAAAAGTTTTTTTTTTGACAAATTTTCCTAATAAATAAAACATGCTCGTCATACAATTCACAAGTCAACTTACCTTTAACTCATAACTAACAATATTAATTATTAATAAATAGCTTTGGATTACGCATCGAATGGGTTTTCTTCCTTAACTATGGAATTAACCAAGTGAGTACCAACTAGTGTCACCTTGTGACGGAATTCTAGCGCATAATAATAATAATAAAAGAAAATACAGCGTCCTGTATCCCTGTAGAAGCTATGGTTAAATATAAAACACCATAACTCCCCATATGTTCATACTCTAGGTGTATACGTTCCAAGAGTTTTGGTGCGTATCCACCTACACTTTACGTGATTTACCAATTTAACTTGTGATGACTCCAACCAACCAATCAAGAACAAACATAACAACCATCAATACATACTTCCGTTTCATTCTTGAATTAATTAGTGAGCACATACAATTTATTTTAATTAAGGTTCCTTGCCTAGTTTTGTGCACAAAATTGCACTATTACTACCTTGGTGCATATGATGCAGTAATTAACTTCCTTGACTCAATCTCAACTTATATGAGTGAGTAAAATAAATAAACTAACTTCTTGACTCAACTCCAACAATATATGGGTGAGAATAAAATCATGAATCATGCTCAATGATTCTAACTTTAGCTCTTTTAAACATACATAAGCCTTGCTTATTAAATTCATGCTTGATACTTAAAAATAAAACATATTTTCATGATTCATACATATTCAACTTGTATCATGCCTCAAATAACATATTCACATGCTTACATAATAATTCATGATCATCCAATATCCAATATAATCCAAGCATTTAATCAGCCAAACATGTTACTAATTCATCACTTGAAACATACTTTACATTCCTAGCATGATACTACACATACATAAATATATCTATGCGCATACGTACCTTGAATCACTAGTAGAAAAAATGAAATAGGCAGCGCACATTTTGCACCGGTTCTTGAAAACCGGTGGTAAAAGAAAAGGGCGGGATTGGGAAAAAGACTTTTCGCACCGATTCCAACCAAACCGGTATGAAATTATATTTTTCGCACCGATTTGAACCGGTGCAAATTAAAAAAGAAAAAAAAAAAGGCATCGATTAACCGGTGCCCCTTAAATTTTCTAAACCCTCTAATGATACTCCCTCAGCCCTTTTTTCTCTCATGCGTATCTCTATTTCTTCTCTCCTATCTAATCTCTCGTTCTTTTCTCCTTCTCTTTCATCTCTCCTTCTCTCTAAGCTTTCGTTCTTCTCTTATCTTCTTCTTCCTCATTTTAGATTCCTTAGTTGAATTTTCGAAACCAAGCACAACAATTTTCGCCGCCGCCGTCAATTATTCGAACCATGCAAGCATCAGCCACCGTCATTAGAACCAAGCACAACCACAACAAACTTGAATGAATTTTCGATTTGAAAATCAGGAATTTGAGGTTAGGGTTTTTGGGTTCTTTAGGTTTTCGTTTTGGTTCAATTGATGTAATTTGTTGATTTTTTTGGGTTTAATTGATGTAATTTATTCGAAATTTCTGGTTTTTGGGTTTAGTTGAAGAAATTTTTGGGTTATGGGTTCAGAGTTTTTAGGTTTAGTTGAAGAAATTTCTAGGTTCTGGGTTCCGTATTTTTCTGATTTTTTCTGGGTTCTAAACTTTTCTAGGTTTTTCTAAGTTCAAAATTTTTGAATTTTCTTTGTTCGAAATTTTTGGGTTCTGGATTCTGAATTAAAAATTTCTAAGTTTTTCTGAATTCGAATTTTTGGGTCTTTTTGGGTTTCTCTGGGTTCAAACTTTATGGATTTCTTCAAATTCGAAATTTTTGGGTTTTTAAATTTCTAGGTTCTAAATTTTTCTGGGTTTTCTTAAGTTCAAAATTTTTGAATTTTTCTTGGAAATTTTAGGGTTCTGGATTCTGAGTTCAAAATTTCTAAATTTTTCTGAATTCGAAATTTTTGGGTTTTTCTGGGTTCAAACTCTCTGGATTTTTTCGATTTTGAAATTTCTGATATTTAATTTCTTTTTGTTCTGTGGATTATAATTACTAAATCTTGTGGGTTTTATTAATTTTGGTGTTTTAATTGATGCAGGTCCTTCATGATATCATTGCAAAAATTAGATGCGAGTATGGTGATAATTTTTGCTAAAAACACGCCTGCACATAAAATAGGATTGAAGATGTAGATTTTGGTGTTTCGTTGTTCATTGTTGCAGTTTTTTATTTTTTTTATATATATATTGTAAAATAAAAATTTATTTGGATGAATATATATGTGATTAATGTATATTACGATTCTGGTGATTTGTTGTTAATTGTGTGTTGATTTGTAAGTGGAAAACTGCAAATTTTTGTTTTTCCTTTTGTAAGGCATAATTTTTTTTTATTGTTCGTTGTATCTCAATTCATAATTATTTTTTTTGGCACTTTTGGCACCGGTTAACCGGTGCTAAAACCTTTTTTATTTTTTTATTTTTTTTGAGAACTTTTTGCACCGATTTTGAACCGAATCGGTGCAAAAAGTTAGCTTTTCAAAACCGGTGCGAAATTTTTTTCTTTTTATCACCCCTCAAATCTACACCGGTTCAAAACTGGTGTGAAAGGAGGGTTTTGAACTGGTGCGGATTTACATTTTTCGCCTAGTGAATAATGCCTAAACTCGGCCACACTCGCTAGAAATCACGTAGCTCAAAGCTTCCTACAGTTAAAAATACATAATCATAATTAATCCACTATTCTCACAAATTTTCAACAACTGTAACATACTTTAAACCTCACTAATTAACCAAATTTAATGGTTTAAAAGCCTTAAAACCTTTTCTTTAAGTGGGTATTTAAACTCTTTCAAAAAGACTTAGTTTTCATGACTTGAATAAAATTCCAGCATACTTATTTAAGAGAAATTTCAAGTTTCTCAACATGAGAAACAAACTATATTTCTCAAATGGCAAAGACGTAAATAAAAGCATTTTTTTTTACTGTTCATCGGCAAAACCGTTACTTGAAGTAGCGGTTTTGCCATAAACCGCTACCTGAAGTAACGATTTTACCTGTAATTTTACAAATTTAACCTCTTGAGAAATAAATTTTGTTTCTCATGTTGAGTAACTGGGGCGGCCTCCTTATTTAATATAAAACATCACTACTAAACTAGGAAATCATATTTAAATCTTCAAGAACCTTTTTCCTTTTATGAGTAATCAAACCTAACATAATAATTAAAAAGTAGTGTGTTCCAGCATTAATTAAGGGCTTAAAACTCATTAAAAACATGTTTTAATCATTAATTTAACAACCACAACAACCTAGAATCAAACCTTAATCATAAACATTAATTCCCAAATTCTAGGGTTTGTAAATTGAGGTTTTTAATCAAATTAAAATTTGAAAATTATAAGAATAAATTAACAACATCAACTATCTAAAAACAACATCAAAATATAATTAAAATCATGTCTTGAATTAATTAAAACAAGTTAAGAAATTAAATTAGGAGAAAAGAGTGTTTCTTTCCTTAAATACCAAACCGCAAAAAGGAGAGGAGAGAGAGAGGAGGGACGGCGACTGGTGGTCGCCGATGGTTGCCGGTGGTCGGTGGTGGCGCCGGTGGTCGCCGGTGGTGTGTGGAGTGGAGGAGAGAATGGCGTGGGAAAGGGAGGAGAAAAAAAGGAAAAATGGGAGAGAAAATAAGAGGAAAAGTTTGGGATTTTTTATATGTCTATTTTATATGGTGCTTTACCCTCGTCCCTTGGTCATATTTAGGAGTACTTTTGGCTCTACGGAGCTACTTTTATTACTAATATGCCCTTTCTAGTGTTTTTTGTAGCTTTGGTATTGTTTTATAGGAAATTGCAGATTTGAAGCTTTTTCCCGAACTTATTTGAGCCACTACGAGCATTGGCGTAGGATCGCGTTCATATGACCATATTCCGTAGCCCAAGACCGCGTTGGAGCAATCAAACCGGTGATTAAGGGCTCGACAGTTGAGAAGAGACCGAGGCAATGGACCGAGTGTTAAGGACCCAAAGAGGAAATCCGGATTAGGCAAAGAAAATAGCCCAATTGAAGTATCCATGATGCCTGGAAGCCCGCCCGACCGGGGAAGCCCTCACCCTGAGGCACGCCCAGGAAGATAGGAAAGAAACACTCTTCGCCTTTAAGCGCGCCCGATTGGGCGCGAGATGTGAAGGCTGCCAGCCGAAGGCAGGCTCGGCCGGGCGAAATGGTGCCCGATCGGGCGCGTGCTTTTGAGGAGCGTTTTTGCGACTTAAACTTTTTTTTACTTTAGGATTTAGGAGCCTAAGTATAAATACACTTTGTTAAGCAAGTTTTGCGGACATCATCATCCATTAGTTAATTTCCAGATTCTTAGTTTTAAGATTTTGATTCATACTCTTGTTCTTTCAACTCTTTTGGTTTATGCAATTCATTATTTCCGTCTATTTTAGTAACGATTTCTTTCCCTTTTATTTTCAGTAATTTAATTGCTTTGATTAATCATGTCTTGTTTTATTGCTCTATTTGATTTAGATTTTAATATGTGTGAGTAGTTTTATTTCTAGGGTTGTGGGGATCCATAAATAATATGAAGAGGTAATTTATTATTGTTTATTGTTAATGTTCGATTGATTTCCTATTGGCTGATTTAATGCTCTCCAGGTTTAATTGTATGAGTTATGCAATATTAATTCGAGATTCAAGAGATGAGAATTAATATTTAGGCTTAGTTTCAATAGACAGGTTAATTTATAAATGGTTAAGTGAAGATTCGAGAGATGCGATTTAATACCGGTAGATTAATTCTGTGATTGTAATACGTAGCGAAAGCCCTTTATGATCTGATTAATTGATGCATTGATGATTGATTATTGTGTTTTACCCTGGAATATTATTTATTGGTGAACCTATACCCTAGGCTTTGATTTATTGATTTTTCCTTAGTTTAATTTTGCTTTAGCTCATTTATTCTCCTTAGTTCCTCAAAACAACTTGATTGCTTGATAGTTTAGATTATATTAATTATTTAGGAATAGAAAGACTTGTTTCCCTGTGGATTCGACCCTACTTCCTTATCTGCTTAGGTAATTCTTTTGATTTGGTGATACGACTAAATCCTGTCAATTTTGTAAAATTTGACAATTTAATTTTTAAGTGTGAAATTCTTGAGTTTTTAGGGTATTTATATCCCCTTTATAAAACAAAAACACTTATTTACAAAACTGCCATTACTAATCTTATTTCTCTTTGAATTCTCCTTTGGGTCTAACTTGTTGGGCCCTTAATAACACTTTTACTCCTAACAAGTTAGTCCAACACTTTTATTGATATTGATCCAATTTAAAACACTTTATTGCCCCAATTTTAGCTCATATTATTTTATACACACTTATTTTATATTTAAATAATTAATTCAATGAAATGAATCATTTTAATTTATAAATAGAATAAATAATTTATATATATAAAAATATTATAAAAATACGGAGTATTACACCAAACCATCCCTTTCCCAACCACCCAACCGAAAACGAGAGGTTTGACCACTAGAAGGTTTGTAATTCAACATATATATACAAACAAATTGTGACATATACTCCGAGAAAGAAGTTCCAACAGTTTTATACGAGGATGGGTAATGCAGCATGCATCGCCCAACTTAAGGAAGGGTATATCAAAGGTGATAGAATAAAGCACACCAAAATTCATTCAAGTGAAAACTTGGCAGATTTGTATATTAAGGCGCTCCCAACAACCACATTAAAAAACTTAACTTGCGTCATTGGATTGTGTCGTCTTATAAATCTCAAGTGATGTAGTCATGAGAAGGAGTTAATGCACGTTGCAATCTTTTTTCCTTAACCATGGTTTTTTCCACTGGGTTTTTCCTGTAAGATTTTTAACGAGACAACATCTTAAGCGCATTATGTAATATTGTATTCCTTTCTGTACGGGTTTCTAGTAAATTCTGTAGGTATTGTTATATATTTTTTTTTTTTGAAACAAGGTATTGTTTTATGTAATAGTTATCCATGGGAGAATGTTATGAAATAATAAGTGAATGACTATTATCCCATGTACTATCTAGAATATTATAGAGTTGGGTATTTGATCTTATCCGAGGGAATATATATGTATAGGGGAGGGATTCGGTAAGAACCCCTCCTTATGTAAGAACCTTATTTATATAAAAACCAATCTCAGCCGTAGGATTAGATTGGGATGAGCGGTTAGGATTAAAACAAAATAAAAACCATCTTTCCTCAAAAAAAAAAAAAAAAAAATGCAACCCTAACTTTATCTCTCTTCGATCATCGTTTCCATATAGTTCATGACTTTCTCTTTCCTCAAACTCCCAAAAATCTCCATAGAAGCTGCAATTTGAAGGATTTTCAACATTTTTCCTTCATTTTTTTTTTGCATAAATTCAATAAAAAGGATCATAAACAAGTCAAATTTTCAAGAAAAGTACAAATTTTCGCAATAAAATTAAACCCTAGATTTCGCAATTTTCAATTTCAGGTACATATTCCTTCAATTTCGTTAGAAATCATTTTTTTCGTCTATACATTGTTCGATTTCAGTTGATTTTTGAAAAAGGTAAATCCTAGATTTCACTGATTTCGTTAATATTTTTGCGATTTTTTTTGGCGATTTTCTATTCGAGTTGCGTTCGATTTCAAGAGGATAAATTTTTTTAGATTTCTTCGTTTTTTTATTTTTGATTTGTTCGGTTTTTATGGTTTGATTTTTGTGCGATTTTTTTGGGCGATTTATGTGCGTTTTTATTTTTTGTTGTGGTGTCGTTGTGTGGGTACTGCTGTTGTTTTGCGGCTGCTATGGTGGTGTGAATTTGGTGGTGGTTGCTGGCTATGATTGGTGGCAGAGGAATGGGAAGGTTGGTGATGTTGGCAGAGGTGGAGGGTTTTGCGTGAGGGAGCAGCAGGGGGTAAGCCGAATTGGGGTGGCTGTGAATGAGGGGTGTGGATTGGAGATGCGGTGTAGGATAAGAGAGGGAGTGGTGAAGGTTAAGTGGCTGAGCAGCAGGGGAGAACATAGAAAAAATTTAGAGCACAGGTTTAGAACATAAGATAAATTTAGATCATAGGAAAAAATTTAAAGCACATATTTAGAACATTTGAAAAAATTTAGAACATAGGCAAAAGAAAAGAAAAGAAAAAATTTAGAACATAGGTAAATGAATATTTAGAACATAGCAAAAAACCTTTAGAATATAGGTAAAAGAATACTTAGAACATAGGAAAAAAAAACTTTAGATCATAAGTAGTAAAAATTTAGAACATAGAAAAAAAAAATTTAGAACATAAGTAGACTACATTTAGAAAATAGGCAAAAGAATTTA